ATATGCTTTATTTATCGCCAAAACTGGGAAATTACTCTGTAAAAACAGCTAAATCATTAACCTGCTGTATAACAAACCTTAAAGTAGGACATATGAACAAAGAAATACAGCATCAATAGACTAGAAGATGGAAGTATGGAAGGGAAAAAATGCACAAAAGGAGCAGAGTTTGTTTTTTTTAAAGAGCTCAGTGAATTACATTGTGGTCTGAAATAAATAAAACCATAAAAACGATCATGCAAAATTATTGAATGCCATATCACATTTCACACTGGGCAAATACTACTTGATTTTTTTTAATCTGACCTAATTCTCATAAGGCAATGCAAAAATGCCAAAAGGAAATGATGGCTGTTTATGAGCAGCGTGATGATGCACACGCTGAAACAATGTGCTTCCTACCATAGTCGGTGTGCGCCAGGAAAAGCAGATCCTGGATGATTTGAATCAGCGTGCACAGTTGCCTGTCTTCCTGGGGAGTTTTCAGCCTCACCAAAAGTTTTTTCAGCCTTTCTTCCAGCTCCTCTTTGTTAACCATGGTCTTTAAAGCGCCCTGTTCCAGCTGACGACGACTTGACGTGCATTGAAATCAATCACTGCGCTCTCTCTGAACCGACAACGGCCTTCGAGCGGCCACACTGAGCGCAGCGTTAGCGTATAAATAACTCACTGAAAATCCACTGTAGTTACTCATGTCTTTACAAATCATTACTGAATTGCTGTGTTGCATAATAATACAGTAGCTACAGAAAGCTATAAGTGGCTGTTGCTACAAGGGAAGCGGTCAGTGTCGCGGAGTTTCGGTTCCGACATCACAGTCCTCGGCTAACTTTCCTGTGGCAGAGAATAAGTTCCTCTTTGCGGAGTCGGTGACTTTATGTTGCTTGGATGTGAAAACGAAGCGAGTCCTCTCTGAAAGGCGTGTTCCTGCTTTCCTACGATCGCATCATATGACTGCAGGCAGTAAAAACTCCCCGCTTACAGAAGAGGAAGCTGAAAATAGAGTCAGAGAGAATCCGACTTTCTCTCTGACAGGGGAAGCGAGTCAGACAGAGAGCCAAGTCAACGGCACTTACGTTACCCCCCAACGGGTTTTTTGTTGTTTTGTTGTTTACTTCAAGCTACACTTTTACAAGCTAACGAGTGGCTTGAGTTAGCCCTCCCACTCTGCGTCTAATGCCAGTTGCTGATTTACAGATTTACAACAATGCAGCTTGACCTGGTACTGACATTTGCTGTGTATGATGGAGGAAAATTCCCACACTAAAGCAAACTCTAAAGTAGTTTTTAAATTATTTCAGTTAATCTCTAAATTAGGTGTCCTCCCAAAGTAATCACCCCTGTATACTAGAAGTGGCGGATCGATACCAAAGCTTGTATTGGTATTGAATCGATGATAGGTAATATGATCGATATTTTGTTTTTCTAATGCTGTGTTCCTGAATAAGTCGGAAGTTCCGAGCTCCCGGTCAGAAATATTTTGTGGAATGCCCCCCCTCAACTCAAAAATCCCACCACAGCAGCAGCCTCACATAGAATTAACAATACTAGATGGCATCACTGAACGTAAACAACAGTAAAACTGTGTACTTTTAATCTGTACTGCCACTGTTGTCTAGTTGTGATTCAATAAAGTCATAGTGGAGAAATTCCTACAGGCATTGCTGTTTGCAGTGTTTTCATTTACAGCTATAAATATCTGGACACCAGGTGCACCTAAGTCATGTGACTCCACAGCAACAAACCACAGGGAGGAGGAGGTGAGGGTGGAGCAAAGGGTGGCTGAAAGGACCGGTGTTTGCACAGACGTGGCTGCTTTTTCATGAAACAGGAGCAATATCAATGCTGGGATCAGTACTTTCAATATTTGTATCAATGCACGCATCCCCACTTGTTAGAGTTACACTGTATTGCTGTTTTTTTTGCAATATGATTTGGCTTCCAAAGTAAAAACTTTCTCAGTGTTGCTTTGTACCTAATGTGCAAAATTGGAAACAGTTTGGTCAGAATATTTTAGCATCCGCTTGGCTTGCTGCCTATAAGTTGGAGTTTTTCCTGGGTTTGTTCCCTGCACCTTTGAATTGGAGAATGGGTCCTGGCTGTCGTCTGCGCCCGTGCACCAAACGATGGTTCAGAGTACCTGGCCTTCTTGGAGCCTCTAGGTGGTGTGCCTGAGGATGCTGTCGTCTTACTGGGAGACTTCAACGCTCATGTGAGCAACAACAGTGAGACCCGCAGGCGCGTGATTGGGAGGAACAGCCTGCCAGATGTGAACCAAAGCAATGTTCTATTACTAGACTTCTGTGCAAACCACAAATTGTCCATAACAAACACCATGTTCAAACAAAAGGGCGTCTATAATTGCACATGGGAATAAGAGACCCTAGGCTGCAGGTCGATGATCAATTTTGTATCATCAGATCTGCGGCCATATGTTCTGGATACTTGTGTGAAGAGAGGTGCTGAGCTCTCAACTGATCACCTGATCCAAGTCATGTGGCGGGGGTGGATGCTGGACAGACTTGGGGCGCCTAAAGGTATAGTAAGGCGGCGACCTCCAGCTCGCACTGTAGCAGTTCGCAGCTGAGTGTAAAGTGGCAGGAATGAGAATCGGCTCCAAGTCTGAGGCCATGGTCCTCAGCTGGAAAAGGATGTTGTGCCCACTCCGGGTCAGGGATGAGTTACGGTCCCAAGTGGAGGAGTTTAAGCAGCTCAGAGTCTTGTTGATGACTGCTGGGTGTGGAAGATAAACAGACAGATTTATGCTGTGGCTACAATGATGCGGTTGCTGCTGAGTGTAAAAGCAAAGTTCTTGATTTAGTTGGTTGAGCTATGTCCTTACTCTCACCTATGGTCCTGAGCTTTGGGTAGTGACCAAAAGATTGAGATCACAGATACAAGAGGCAGAAATTAGCCCTCTCTGAAGGGTGGCTGGCCTGCGAATGCCTTGGTGTTCCTTGGGATAAGCTGGAGGAGAAGGCTGGTGAGAGGGAAGTCAAGGCTTCTCTCCTTAGGCTGCTGCCCCTGCAACCTGGCCCCAAATAAGGAGAAGAAGATGGATGGATGGGTAGACTGATGGATGGATATGGGATCATTTCAACAGGTTGCTCTCCAGTGAATTCTATTGAAAATGTAGCTGCATGGAACAGACTGCAGCATTGTAAATAATAATTTCTTTATGCAGTTTAACTTACCAATGCAAATGATATTGTGGGATTAGTTTCTGATCATGATAATATAATAATAAAAGCAGCTATGAAAAATATATAGATATATAGTGTTAGGAAAAATATTCTAAAACACTTCTTCAGTAAAGACTCAGAGAAGAGAAACACACAGAACTTCTTGCTAGCAAGGGCAGCCTCCAGACTGAGACTCGCACTAAGAAACTGCCCCGGTCTTTATTTATATTTCAGTGTGTGTGTGTGTGTGTGTGTGTGTGTGTGTGTGTGTGTGTGTGTGTGTGTGTGTGTGTGTGTGTGTGTGTGTGTGTGTGTGTGTGTGTGTGTGTCCTGCTGATCAAAGGGTCATAAAACATGAAAGCACAAAAGGTACATCCTTGGTCATAAAGAGGGTAGTCTCCCCCACCCTAGATGGCACGGTGAGGAAGTCCAGCAGTTAAGGCACTTAGACTAAAACAGACATAGCTACGTTAAAACAATAAAACAAGGTACGACCTCTCCCATGCTCCCAGGATGTGGGGGTGAACCAAGCCTGCTAAAAATCACACATCCTGTCACTACCAAATAACTACAAACAGCATCCTACCATAAGCAAACTTATATCACTAAAAGATTATACTGACTACTAAATACAATTTTCCATTGACATATAGAATAAAATATATATTGTTTACCATACTATGCTGTCTACCTTTGCACTTTTTTTGAGATATTGGGTGGACCCTTTTCTCCCACAGAGAGGAAAGTAAATGAGTGTGAGGCTTAAAACAAGAAATCATTGAAAACTATGTTGTTTAAGTTGTATAGCATAAGTACAAAGTATGTTATAGTGTAGGTACTTCCAGTGTCCCTAGAAGCTGTGGTTCAGGTCCAGCTGTTCCCTGGCAAGGAGAGCACCATCTGATTTGAGGATTGGATGACAGTCGGTGAGCACAGAATATCAGCTTGACATAGTGGTCATATCTTATTTTTCCTGTATTCAGCATTGGGTACAACCCCCCAACCACCAGTGATATGCCTAAATATCTTCACTTTTCAGCCGTTTTTTTTTTAAAATCATTCAGAACTATTCCTGAAGACTACTTAAATAAATAAAGAAAAAAAACCCTCCGGTTTACTTGTTGTTTAAAGATTGTAGTCATGAAATTTTATTTTAGGACACAAGAATGCTTTATGCGTTTTAAAGTATACATTAGACCACGGTTTAGATGGGTTTTGCTTTTTGGCCTGTATTTGTATAGCGCTTTACTAGTCCCTAAGGACACCGGGCACACTGGCGCCACCGGGCCCTCTGACCACCACCAGTAGGGAACAGGTGAAGTGTCTTGCCCAAGGACACAATGACCGAGACTGTCCGAGCCGGGGCTCGAACCGGCAACCTTCCGATTACAAGGCGAACTCCCAACTCTTGAGCCACGATCACCCAACTTTGCACAATTTATATGTAGGAAAGCCCAGTGGAAAACGTGTCTTTATCTGTCAAGTGTCTGTTTGATTAAAAAAAGAATGTTAATCATATTTTGGGGGGTAAAAATACATAAGAAAACAAAAACGAAAGTAGCTAAGCAACAGTTAATATTTACCTTCGCGAAACGTATCCATCTAAATCTGCCCAAACTTACTGATAGCGCATAAAAAAGTGCTCACAGTTGAAATCTTTGCCATGTTTTGTGGCCAGTGCAAATTCCTGCTGTGTTGGCTCATTAATCACGACTACCATAAAAAGAACCAGTTGGGTTACATTTTACAGTTCAAATGGGCGTGTTTACTTTTTTTTTTTCAGGGATAATATCATATGATCCACATAACAGACTTCCTGTTTGTTGAAGAACACATCCACAGCAGCACTGTGCGCTGGAGGAAAGCAGCTTTTTTAGAGGTATGGTTTTTTTTTTTTACAGATAGTTAAGGTGACCTAGGCTAAAGTCCAGTAATGCGACTTATTTGACTTTATTGCAAACAGATGACTTATGGGGACGAGGGGCATAAGGGTCACTTACCATTCCGTACTTTTAGCATTATAAGAATAAATTAAGTAGAAGTTACATTCGGAAATACTCATGAAAGTAATGAAAAATAGATGGGGAAAAGTGATCTGAATGAAAATTGTTCACTCACATCTCTGCCGAATTTTCGAGTAGACAATACATGTGCTGTCAACTCTGGTTTTACGTGCACAAAAGTCTCCGCTGAGCACAAATTCGTTAAAAATGACATTTTGGATGGAGTTTGGCACGGTGCTGTAGGAAGATCGTAAACTCTCTGTTTGAAAAAAAAGAAACAACATTGTTTTTGTAGCCGGGTGGGCACGTGACCTCATGCACAAACATGGCTGCACGCAGAGCAAAGCAGTAGCGCTGTCAGTGGTGAACAAAACATCTAAAGTCAGCTTAAAGTCATCAACCTACACTGTTTAGGCAGCTTTCCCACGACGCGACTCCGAAATATGCGACACAGCAGAATCTGGCGCTCGGTTAACCACAGGAATTAGTCACGACATGTCGTCATCAAAGTTAGCTAGTATAGCTGCTAAAATCACGACGTGGTGCTTTCTTTCCTGTTGCTTTTTCGAGCTGGACACCTAAAAACACACCCAAGGTTTGGAATTTAACTTAGAGGTTAGCTGAACGTCTTGCACTGAAAATATTGCTATTATTTTGTTGAGGGGAAAACGACAACAACAAAAAATGATTATGATTTGTAATCTGCTTTAATGGGACATGACTGCATCCATGTACACGTCACCGCCACTTCCTCACAGAAGTATCTCACCTGGCTGATTTAATAAAGTGGTGACCTGCAACCCCTGGTTAGCTTAACCTCTGGTTTCTCCTATGTCCAGCAGCTATGATGAGTACAGCTTGGAGCACATGAGCAACCTCATGGCCAGCAGGAGACAGAAAGCCGGGGACGATGGAGAGCGGAGTCTCATAGGACCTCCATCTAGGCATGTGGATGAGAATCTCCCAGACCGGGATGCCCCCAAGCCGCTTTTTGTCTATTTGTTGGCGTTTTTCTCTGCCTTGGGGGGATTCCTCTTTGGGTATGACACTGGAGTGGTTTCTGGAGCCATGATTCTCCTCAAGAAGGAGATGAACCTGAATGCTCTGTGGCAGGAGCTGCTGGTTTCCAGTACTGTGGGAGCTGCGGCGCTCTCTGCCCTGAGTGGAGGCTACCTGAACGGGTGGCTGGGCCGCAGGATCTGTATCCTTGTGGCCAGCTTTATCTTCACTGTCGGTGGCATCATCTTGAGTCTTGCCCCAGACAAGGTGGTCCTCCTTGTTGGCAGAATTACAGTTGGTTTGGGCATAGGTAAGTTATTTTTATTTAACACTACAGCTTGTATCAAGGTAAAGTCACCATTATAATTTTGCTCCTTATAAGGAACCCTTTGTTTGACTCTCATTATTCAATATTTGCCTTATTCAAACACAGAGCTCTGAATTATACGGCAGAGTTAGGATGTAATATGAATTGTCTGTGGGAATGCATCTGTTGTGCATTAGCATGAAACTGTTCCTCTCCTTGCCTTTAGGCATTGCTTCCATGACTGTTCCTGTGTACATCGCAGAAGTTTCCCCTCCTCACCTGCGAGGTCAGCTGGTCACTATCAATTCCCTTTTTATCACTGGTGGCCAGTTCATTGCCAGTGTGATTGATGGGGCTTTCAGCTACGTGAGACAAGACGGCTGGAGGTACGCAGCTTTGATGCTCTCTCACCTGTGCTAAGGGCTTTAGTTTAGTTTGGTTAAATTTGATTTATCCCTTTTTTACCATTATTTGGATCTTTGCCGTGAATGCCAATAAGGGCACCAGAGTTTTCAGATTCCAAGAAGCTGCATCTTCTCCATGCTTTAGGTACATGTTGGGCCTTTCCTGCCTTCCTTCTGTGCTGCAGTTCTTCGGCTTTATTTTTCTGCCCGAGAGCCCCCGTTGGCTCCTCCAAAAAGGCCGAAGCCTAGAGGCTCATCAGGTTCTCAGCCAGATCAGAGGAGGCCAGAACATTGATGAGGAGTATGACACCATCAGAGCCAGCATTGAGGAAGAAGAGAAAGATTTAAATGGAGGTAAACGATGTCTAGGAAAAGGGAAACATAGCAGGTGTTATGTGCGCGTGCTTAATCACACTGTGTGTTTTCTTCTTTTTTTTTTCCCTGGTTATTTTTAGGTGGGCCTGTTATTTTCCGTATCCTCAGGCACTCGCCGACTCGTAGGGCTCTCATCGTTGGTTGTGGGCTCCAGATGTTTCAGCAGTTGTCTGGGATAAACACCGTCATGTAGGCCGACTTTTTGTTTTGTTCAGTTTCAGACCGCATGACAATGCTAACCATTGCTGTAAAACCTCAAGCGCTACATCAGAGCAAGTGTGTTTTCTGTAAATCTGTCCTGTGCTGTATCCTAGGTACTACAGTGCAACCATTGTGCAGATGGCTGGGGTGCGTGATGATAAACAGGCAATATGGTTGGCCGCAGCAACTTCAGCTACCAACTTTGTGTTCACCTTGTTGGGAGTCTGGCTTGTTGAGAAAGTGGGTCGCAGGAAGCTGACCCTGGGCAGTCTTTTAGGTTTGTAATTATAGAGATTACTTGATTGATAGATGCATTTTTTTTTAAGTTTGGGGGGGTGTTTGTGTTAAGTTAATTTAACACAATTTGTCACAAATCAAAAATAAAAATATAGCAATGTGTTCTTACTGTAGCTAAGGCCAAAAGTGTTTACAGTGGGCAGGACTGGGATCATTTTCATGTAAACATCTCTGGGACTTTTGCAACCAGACTGACTTCTAAAGTAAAACTAATGTGTTTTTATGGTAATAGTATTATATTTGGTCAATGATATTATTCAGGTATATGAAAATGAACTGCTTGTTTCTGCAGACACCCCTGCCGTCTTTCTCAGTGTGTTTGTCTCATTATGTTTCCGATGCAGGAACTGGTCTGAGTCTGGCTCTGTTGGCAGTTGGGTTCTTGTTATCTGCCCAGAACTCTCCTCCTATAACCCTCCACCCATTAGACCCCCAAAACTCAACCTGCAGGACATATGGGTAAGAAGAAAAAAAAATCACACTGCACTAATTTTTATTTGTTTTTGTATTGCAACATAGCATGCAGGCAGTTCGACTTCCTGTCAGTTTACACTATGTTGTCGTTCAACATTTGGTTGTATTATGTATTTTGTGGCTCAGTGGTGATGCTTATCTTGGTATTTCTTCACTGTTGTGACAATGATTTCGCTAACTTTCATTCTTGGAGTGCGTGTATGCATCTCTGGTGATTTTTAACCCCTCACTCTTCCTCCTACCTCCAACAATAGCTGTATTTGCTTAATCTTTAAAGGCCTGATCTCTGCCGCTCAGTAGATTTGGTGGTGTCTTTTGTGAAAGCTTTTGCATTCATCTCTGTCCTGCAGGTCTTGTGAAGGCTGCATGCTGGATCCAGATTGTGGATTTTGTTTCCTTGAAAATGGCACCAACGTGTACGACTCTTCCTGTGTTCCTGTCAATCAGTCATCCACGGATCATGCAGCCTGGGGAAGGTCAGATATTTGGGGTCTTTTGTTTTTGTATAAAGGGAAGGTGTATGCATTAGCTCACAAAAAATGTAAAGGTCCGAAAAGATGTTCCAGTGATTTCTTTCTTGGATATGACTGCTAAGTGGATGGATGGAAATATGGATGATATCAAAAGTGCATAAAGAAGTAGTGAAATAATAGTGCTAACAAACTCATGGAAAACCTAATGCAATCATTTTCAAGGTAAAAAACCAAAAAAACCACAGGGATGTCTTGCAATGCCATCAACAGACATCTTTTACATATATAATGTTAACAAAACACAGAACAGATGCAGATAAAACTCTCCATTATTAACTTGAATGATCCTCTTTGTTGTAAGACAATTGTTAGAAGGAACAGAAGGGTGGAGTTTTATAGCTTCCTGTCTGTGTCACATTAACAGGATCCAGTGTTACGTCATAGGTGTGGTGATGTGTTGTGTGTTTTAAGCTTGAGTTGCGTATCTGAGAGTGTGAGAGCACGTCTCTTCCTGACCTTCAGTTCATGTGTCTGTGAACATTATTTGAAGGTCCAGTTTTAAAATACTACTAAAAGTAGTGCTTGAAATATTACAATGCTGTCTATGACCTGCACTGTAATAGATTGTTTTTCAAATACTTTTAAGCTAATCTGTGTTATTTACCCCCAAAGTTGAGATGATTAGCTCAATAAAAGGAAAATGAAACAAGTATTCAATCCCAAAATTTAGTAAATCAAAGAAGCAAAATAAGTAAAAATCTAAATGCAATGCAATGAAAATAAAATAAGTAAAACATTTGATAACATTATGTTTAATTAAATAAAGTCTAAATGTAAAACAGTAGGGTGGCTTTATGAAGTACAATATGGTTTCTGTTTTTTATTATTATTATTTTTGTTTTTAATCCAGGTGTTCCAATGGAACAGAAGCAAGCGACAATCCAATTTGGGCGTACAACTACTGTCCTTCGTCTTACTCCTGGATTGTTCTTTTTGGCCTCATCCTCTACCTTGCGTTTTTTGCTCCAGGTTTAAAATTAATTTCTTCTTGTTTTTTTTTTGTATTTGTTTTTATTTTGTTGTTTAAATTATTATTTCTCAGTTCATAGCCATCCCCATCTTATTGCAGCTGAACCTAAACGTGCTGAGTCTATTCCCCTAATTTAGTTTGACTGTGAGGTAACTTGGACAGTATAAATGATGGATATGGCTACTGCGTGACAGTCAGTGAAGTGGCATTATAAAGCTGAGGCGTGAGCACTAGGCCTGACTGTTGCATTGCTGTCTTATTGGCTGAAAACTTGTGATGAACAGCCTGTCGTTCGAATAATAAACCATCTACCGATGAGTCGCCCGATCTGAAAATGACTTTTCTGAAAACACATGATCTCATTTAAAAGTTGCCTTATAAATTCCTTCCTTATAAAAGGCGCTTCCACCTTAGCATCACTTTTCAAACAGTCTGGGTCCATCTTTTATACCAAATCATGTCTATTCAAACATTTGCAAATTCGAAAACAAAATCATCACTTTTTAATGCGTTGTAATGTGACACTAAGAAACGAGTTATGGAAATAGAACAAATTTTCAAGATGTAGGAAAATGCTTCTTCATACTCAACCTCTTTGAATGTTATCAGTGTTATCCTAATCATGAAGGCTAACCAACAGCTAATATGTCGTTGACACATGTCTAATGTGATAAAATAATGCATACAATACACGTTACAGGTATGGGCCCCATGCCTTGGACAGTGAACTCTGAGATCTACCCACTTTGGGCGCGCAGTACTGGCAACGCCTGTTCAGCTGGAGTGAACTGGATCTTCAATGTCTTGGTGTCTCTGACGTTTCTCCATGTTGCAGAGTTTCTTACTTATTATGGTAAGACGGCATTAAGATAGCAGCTAAAGTGTTTTAGGGTATTAAGTAACTGGAAACGCTAAAAGTATAAAACTTGGCAAAAAAAATAAAGGGACAGACATTTTTATTGCTGGTTGAGTTGTGGTTAATTGGGTTAAATACTTCTTTAAAAAAAACTTAAAGGATCAGACCTCCAAGGAAAAAATGATATGGACTGGGTAATGTGTTTGGAACGTAAGCATCCCGAGTTGTTTGATGGAAATGAAAATTATTCAAAGACACCTCCTGAAAAAGTGAAAAAAATGATGCGGCAGCCTGGTCCATTTTCCCGATCTTCATTCCAGCTATTTCGCCTGCAGTGTGAAAGTAGCCTTAGACTCCATGGTACCAGACAGTGAGCACAGCGCCCACTAGAGGACATTGGGCCTTCAGGCCACCCTCATAAGGTCTGTTTCTGGTTGTTTGGTTAGACATTTACACCAGTGATTGGCTGGTGGTCATTTTGTAGCTCTGGCAGTTTCCATCCCGCCAGGAACAAATAGTGGTCCTGCTGATGGGTCCTACTGAAGGACCTTCTCAGCCTTGTCCAGCTCTTTTAGAGTAACTGCCTGACTCCTGGAATCTCCTCTGTGCTCTCGAGACTGCTGTGAGACACAGCAAACCTTCCGCATTAGCACGTATTGATTTGCCATCCTAGAGGAGCTAGACTACCTCTTGCAACCTCTATAGGGTCCAGATATGATCTCATGCTGCCAGTAGTGATGCTGACCCTGGCCAAATGCAAAACAAGTGAAAAAACAGTCAGAAAAGATGAGGAGGGAAAATGTCAGTGGTCTCTACTTGTAAAACCATTCCTGTTTTGGGGGTAGTCTCATTGTTGCCCCTCTAGTGCACCTGATGTTAATTTTATTAACCCCAAAGAAGCTGAAACTGATGAATAACCCCCTCTGCTACTTAACTGACCACATCAATATCCTGCAAGCTTAACTTGATGCTGTGTTTAAGTTTTCTGAGCAGTGTGCATAGCTTTTTAAGGTTATTTTAAGGTTATTTAGAGGAATTGAATTTGTTTATTAGGTGTTTTTTCCTATTTAAATATTTAAATAAACAATTCACACAACTTTATCAAGTTTAATTTACAGCCAAGAACTTCATAGTTTTGAGCCTAATTTCCAAAATCCCTGTATTCCAGGTGCGTTCTTCTTGTACACGGGCCTGGCCATGCTGGGTCTCATCTTTGTACTGGGCTGCCTCCCAGAGACAAAGGGCCTACAGCTGGAAGAGATTGAGAACCTGTTCGCAGGTCAGCTCTGCTCCTGTGGAGAGCCTTCACCCAACAGCAATCGTCATGTCCAATACATCCGGGTAAAAGGCAGCAACTACCTCCCCTCTGACAACGACGCCTCAGATGTAGAGTAGACTGGGATGATTTCGCTTTCCACTCTGTCCTTTGGTTTTCCTGGGATGGCTGCTCTTGCGGGGAGGAAAAGGTATTCACGGTTCCCTCTGGTGGGTGTGATCGAATGGGACCAAACGCAGGCTAGAGCTCCCCTGGGGTTGACTTTAACTGGTGCTTTCTTTCATTTAAGCAACTTTTTCAAATTTCTTTTTAGTTCTGCCTTTATCTCACCTGGAAATCGTGTTGCTTTGCATTTCTTACTTTTGAATATCCTCCTTATTTCTCATCGTCATTTATGCACTAATAAAAAGGGAATACTGACTGGTGTCTACGCAGTATTGCTGTGGGCACAGTTAATCTGTGACAGTGTTGCTGGGATCAGAAAATCCTTGTTGAGTGAAATATTTCCATTTTCTTGTTGAGAAACCTTTTAGAAACAAGCCTTTTGTTGTTGTTGTTTTAACCACACAGTTGGTTGCTGACTCATCGTTTACCCTCACATATTTAATTCCATTAAGTTGCGTGATTTCCGTCTGACCATCCATCTTTTATAAACTACAAAAACGAGATACGGGCAGAAATCTGATTGTGGTGAAATGATAAGGATTTGAGAATTTGAAGATCTGTGAAACTGCTTTCACTGATTTCTGCCATACTTGGACGTTTGCACATCTTTTCGAAATCATTAACATGGGGTTAGTCCTCCAATCAAAGCTGGTGTCAAAAATACTAATCACGTGTTTCTGTTGTCAACTAGAAAGTGGGTGAGTTTGCACTTTAAAGTCTTTTATTTTTTCAATAAATAATAAAATTAAGTGATAAATAAAATGTTTCCTACGTGCCAGATTGCTATAGCAAGTTGTTGTTTTTTTAGCATGATTTGGAATTCAGCCAAGCAAACTATGGAGCCGTGGAGTCAGACAGTGCCATAGCCTATATAACTGTAAGTAATGCATCGAGGTATTAAAGTGCTACAAACTTTGATGTTATGTTACTGTACAAAGAAAAATGCCTTTTTGATGTTCAAAATGTTCAATTTCATATCTTTGTTGTTGCAGCTGAGATAATGGTGACCAAGAACAACGTCCCACAGAGGGCTTTTGTACAGAATGTCCTTTTTACACTGGGATACTTTGATAAGTACCAGTTTGCTTTATTGGCACTGCTGGCATTTACAAATATTGATTTTTCATTAAATATTTTTCATGCGGCCTTATTTTTATTTTTTTTTGTACATCAAGCACAGGCTAAGATGTATTTGGAAATTGTACAAAACCTCCACATGGAAACATGAAAGTGCTTGATACCTAAAACTACGTGATCTGTAGTTACAGGTCCATTCTGCTTTTGTTTGAAATGAATGGATTTCCCTCTTGTGCTGGGGGAAAAGAATAGACTCATGACACTACCACCTTTATATGAGACAGAGTTTTTCCTCAGGTGAACAGAGCTGATTGTCTTGACAGCTTCGAGGGGAAAGCATTTCAGGTTAAAAGGCCATAAATGAATTTTATGGATAAATGGATCAGCATTTTGTATATGAAAAGTTAACTGTTTGCAAAGTTACAATATATGTGTGTTTTCTTTTCTTTTCACCAATGTCATATTTGATAAATAAACTTGTCAAAAGAGCCTGATCTGTGAAGTCAGTCAGTTTTTGTGTGAAAAGGTCATTTGAGTGTTGCTCAAATGTAATTGAAGATGGTAACATGACATCATTTCTAAGAGTCTAAGACGGCATGAAAAATTGTTGAAGTGCTCACAACACTGAAACAAAGAATAACAGAGACTTTCCCAAAGATCCTGAGGAAGAACATCTCCCAGAGGCTGTTGGTGTCCTACTGCTGCTCCACAGAGTATTTTAATATATTACTTCTGTGTGTGGTTTTCCTCTTGTACAGTGGCACAAAACAAGGCGCTCCCGAGGGTGGCCCAGAAAACCATGGGATGCCCCCTACCTACTCTAGAGGACCTACATAGTTAAAGCTAATAATATAAAAGATCCTTCTGACTGTCCATGTCCACATGAATGTGCTCTGTGTAATTTGGGAGAGTGGGGAAAGGCAGCTTTGGTCTTTTTGTGTGTTTCTTGTACGGTTTTATATAGTTTATAGTTTTTATTACTGTTGTGAGTGATCTTTGAACTGTTCAGAGTCCATTTGACATTAGTGTACACGTTGCATTATGTCATATGGTCCCCTGCTCATCCCAGTGAACTAAACCGGCACCCACAGTCTTAAAGTGTGTGTGCACTCCTGCTTTAAATCTCAGGCCACTTTAATGTTGGCAAAGGAGAATCACATATGATTTTTAACATAATAACAGTGGTTGATTTCTAGCCCATTTTTAGGTGAAATACTTAATGCAAAGTTGGGATGGTGTTTTGGTGTTTTTGGTCACAAGGAGACCCTGATCTTGAAACTGCTGGTAAATGTTGAGTTGATGGAAAAAATCAGTAGTCACTGGGTCATTTCTGTTTTGTGGCAAACCAGGTGATGAACATTCAGGATGTTTTGTATTTAATTGGTTGTGTTAAAAGTCTTCACTTATCCCAGGTAAACTAAAACATTTGGAACAATCCAGATTTTGGTCGGGTAAAGACAATTTTTCGTTATGGCATGAGAAAGGGATAAAAACTAGAACATGTTGTAGATAAGATGGGAAGTTTATTTCAATTAAAGAACTTGTAAATATATAAATATAAAATATGTAATAGAGTAACTATATAATACTTTTACAGGTGTTTGTGGGGTGGGAAGGTGGCATTAAATTCATTAGGATGAGTTTTTGTAAACAATCTGACACTGTAGAAAAAATAAAAATGTATGAAAAAAAAGACTTGCATATGATCCAAAATCTAACAATGCAGCCACGGGATATCGAATCCTGACCTGGTCTTAAGGTTTGCTGAGTCACAGTTTTGGCTCTGTAGACGTCAGGTTATGTTTATATTAGAGAAGGGGTGCAAATTACACATCAGGTCAGTTATTTCTGTGCAGTCGTAGGATTTGATTTCCATTGTGACCAGATGTGTTCCACTCTTTCTAAGAAACATAAATGCAGTGTTGGCCCCTACAGTTCCTTCGTGTGGCACTGTGATTATCCAATCCACAAGATGGCAGTAAAAAACAACTAAAGAGAATAAATAGTCGCGATGAACGTTAGCAGGGAGCAAAAGAAAAACAAAAGAAAAAAACAACAAAAAACCCTTTATTTTATATGTGAGCTTAAAAAATAGATTATCTGCCAGTGCAATTTTAGTGACTTTTTTATATTTATTGCTACTGGGAACATGGATTCATATATTTGTTATCTGTAAACTAAATGATTGCTTTTTTTTTTTAATGGGATGATTACAGAGTATATTAAATAATAAACAATAGAATATTGCCATTTATTTATTTGGTAATTTAAATGATATTGTAAAATTGCTTAAACGTTTTGATATGGTATTAAATTGAATTCGAAATATGTACTGATGTCATTTAGGATTTCTTATAGAGACTCGTGTTTGCCCATCTTTTGTAGTCACATGAAAGTCCAACTATCTACCTGCTAAGCTATCGAAACTTTCATTTGTGTAAAAGAAGCTTGTGGTAGTCCAAGGTTACTGCTATCAGAAGGCTGCTGGTAGATTCTCTGCCGTTGCTGACATGACTTCATGCCTGAAAGCCAAATGGCTGATGCTGTAAAGCGGTTCATGGTGCTGTGATTTCTCTAAGACGCACAGAAAAAAAATGTTTTAAAATTAAATTAATATTGTCCCAACATTTTCTATCATAAAACGATGATAACTGTCTGGAAAATGTACATTTTGGGCTACAGATTCATTCTGGACTGTGTCACGAGCGCTTTTTATTAATGTGGAAATGCAGATTTTGGTACTCCTCCAATATACTGGGGGGAAAAATAATACAGTGATTCTTACTATCGCCTCACTCCCCGGAGAGGGCGTGGCTTGCTGACGCACTGCGGATCCCTCCCAGTGTCTAAACGGAGCGGAGAGAGGAACGGCGAGGCACCGAGGGGCGCGCGCACATGTGCGAGTGTGTTTGAACCAATGAACGCGTACGCGCGCGCCATTGGCTCACCAGCAGCCGGAGTGGCAGTGTGCAGACGGGCTCGAGTCGGAGCATCAGGGCCAAGTTGCGCAGAGATGCAGCGTACGTAGACGCAGCACGCGGGCACACCACCGCGGCTCTTCCCCGATATCATGGTTTAAACACCGTTAAGATAGGTTGTTGTGGGTTTTATTTTTTAATGGCGGCGCTGAAGTCGAGGTGATCCGCTCGCCAGCGGGAGTATAGTGCGCACTCCTTTTTTTTTGCCGGGGCTAGTAGCCAACGCAGATAAATCCGCACTATTATTATTATTTTTTCTTCTACCTGCTGTTGCATAAGGAATCATGACAACGGGACAGGATGAAAGCTCTGTCCGTGTGGCATTGAGGTAAGGCGCTAAAGACTATTTAAATGTTTCCATTAACTCCCTAATGCGTAGCAACATTAATTGCCCGGTGCCACCTGTCAGTCAGTGCAGCGGGCCTCGCAAACACCTGCAGGTCATCAGCATCATCTTGTGTTCGCCAAACACTCTTTGACCTGGAAAATATTCCGCGTCGTGACGTTGCTGTTACCGGCTTTCAGGACATGTTTGCGGCGCAATTGTTTCTCACCTCAGTTTGAATGAGCAGGTTTTGTGTTGGGGGCTCACAAACATAGAGCATCACGCCCATTGCACAGGTACGCGCACGCGCGCACACATTCACGGGCCATCCTCTGTAGCGTGCATGCTGGGAGGAGTGACGATATCTTTTTGCAGCGGCTCTCTCTATCATAGAAAAGGAAACAGATGGAGAAGGTGGGAGAGAGCCAGTCGGCCTGTCTTCGTCCAACGGTCTGGCGTCTCATCAAAGCCTCCTGCAGAGACAGTGGATCGATGAAAGAAGAGCTTCACTGACAATCAGGTTCCAAGGAAAAGGGCAGTGGGCCTATAACGCTGTCAAGCCTGCTCTTTGTTTGTAGACATTCAGTGGACAGCTCAGTCACGGCTCTCAGCGATTCAGTACTGTTCCAATCAATTCACCAAACGGACAGGCTGCTTCACCTCTAATTTCATGCACTTGATGTGGGCGGCTGTATTCATGCTGAAGAAGGCCGCTCACACCCAGATGGTGAAGTGGCACTGACAGTGACATAATGGGGAAACCAATCTCTTTCTCTCCCCTCCAGTCTGTCCGTATCCATAGTAATTATAAAAATGACTCATAATGGCAGTATAGTTTCTCATATCTGTTTTTTCTTTTTTTTTTGGTATCCTCATATTCAGCTGCTCGCCTGTGTTCCTTGTTCAACCTTAAAGACACACAAGTGCCTCGTCATTATTTGTGATGATTGTTTGTGCTGAGCTTCCGGATACCATCCCCCAGTATCCCATTTATGAGGGGAATAATTTATTTTATGCTGTTGCTACTCCATGTAAAACAGGGGTTGAATTGGTCTCAAGTGTTGGTTTCGAACACAGTTTTTATGGTAGGACATTTTCCAACAGAAACTAGTGATTCTGGAGATGTTCTGTTTTGTACTGCCTGTTATTTGTTGCCAAATAACTCCTGAAAAATTTGCCTTTGCAAAGATAGACATTTAGTAGTTTTAATGGAAGGATGAAAGCAAAACAGGCAACTGCCTGGACCTGCCCAGTTAATTACAAAACAGTTCCCAGAACAAGCAGCATGTTGCCGTCCCAGTCTAAGTGGATCGAGTGCCACTTCTCCCCTGTGGAGCCTGTAATGCGGTCAGTTGTCTCTCCCCACCTGGAGTCTACTCTGCTGGGGCTTTCCTGTTTGTCCCTCTGGGGCTGCACAGTTGGTTGCACTAAGTAATATAACGGCCCTGCGCTGCCTTACTGTAAAGTTTTGCTGTTTGTCTCGATTCTGTGGTGTGATTTGTAGTGTTGTTTTGCTGCAGGCACTTTGGGTTTTTGTTAAGAGTTTTAGAAATGTTTTGATTACCTTTGATGTTTGCAGGGATGTAAGGTTAGGAATGGAGCAGCTCCTATAATGCTACCACTATAATGACAGTATGGTTATACAGTGATACGTTGTGAGACTGTGTGATGCAATAGCCAAACAGTCCTGAAGAAATCAAAAGTCCGGAAATATGCATCTAAGAATGAACGAACTGTGGTGTCAGTTGTGTGCGCGTCAGTTAGGTCAAAGGTCAGTGGAGGTAATGGTCATCATTAATCAATTTTAATAATGCATTTCTTTTAAATCTGATTAGCTTTTTTCCGCTGAACACTATTTTACCTCTTAAGAGTGTTTAATATTCTTCTCTGCAAGTTGGTTAACTTCTGTTCACCCTACACTCTTTCAGTTAATTATCACCATCACAAATCATAAAGTAGCGACTGTTTTTTTTTGCCAAATTGTTATCCGAACCATAATCTACTTTGATGATGACAATAAATTACCCCACAAGATGAAATGGAGGGGGTCTACATAGAATAGAAAACCCTTTCTCCCATTAGCGTACACATGAAGTCAACGTATCTGATTACAAAAAATCACCTGTCTAATGTAATAATTCATATTGATTCACACCTCATACATGAGTGTAAGGTAGCAGAATTAT